CTCAGGCAATCCACTCACCTCAGCCTCCCAAAGGCTCGGGATTACAGGCCGAGCCACCGAACCCGGCCTTATTTTTTATTTTTATACAGATGAAGTCAATATATTGCCAGGGCTTGTCTCAAACTCTTGGACTCACGAAATTCTCCCACCACAATCCCTTAAGTAACTGGGATTACTGGCATGTGACACTGTGCCTGGTTCCATGGTGTTTATTTTTTATTTTCTTTATCTATTTATTTAATTTTATTTGAGTTGGTGTCTCACTTTGTCACCCAGGCTGGAGTGCAGTGGCATGCTCACAGCCACCACAGCCTTGGCCTGCTGGGCTCAGGAAATCTTTCCACCTCAACCTTTCAAGTAGTTGGAAGTATAGGCATGTGTCACCATGCCCAGCTAACTTTTTGTTTATTGTAGAGACAAGGTCTTACCATATTGACCAGGCTTGTCTTGAACGCACCTGCTCAGGCAGTCCTTGCCTCTGCCTCCCAAAGTCAGCTACAGTAGCCTTGACTTGCTGGACTCTGTCGATCCTTCTGCCTCAGTCTTCCAAGTAGCTGGAGCTATGGGCACGCGCCACGACGTCCAGTTATTTTTTGGTTTTATTGTGGATATGAGGTCTTGCCAAGTTGCCCAGGCGGGTCTTGAACCCGTGTGCTTTGGCAGTCCTCTCACCTTGGCCTCCCAAAGTGCTGGGATTATAAGGCGTGAACACTGCACCCAGCCTATTTTTCTTATTCTTTTTTTTAAATTGTTTTTTACTTAAATTAAGAAAGATAGATTTGTTAAAGAGAAGATACCATTGTGAAGGACACAGTGGGCAGGACGGCAACAAGAGTGTCCGCCGTGTATTGCCTTGTTACTCTTTTTTATTTTTTGAGTTGGAGTCTCACTCTGTTGCCCAGACTGGAGTGCAGTGGCCGCTCCCGGTCACCGCAGCCTCGACCTGCTGGGCTCTGGCGATCCTTCCGCCTCAGCCTTCCAAGTAGCTGGAACTACAGGCGCACGCTACCACGCCCAGCTAGTTTTTTATTTATTGTAGAGATGAGGTCTTGCCAAGTTGCCCAGGTGGGTCTCGAACCCACGGGCTCAGGCAATTCACTCACCTCAGCCTCCCAAAGGCGCGGGATTACAGGCTGAGCCACCGAGCCCAGCTTGCCTTCTTATTCTTAAAGGTAAACACAGTCCTTTATTTTAGAGCACTTGAATTTTGATGGCCTTTTTTTTGGGAAAATAGTTTTGGTTTTGGATGAAACTATACCTAAACAGTATTGAATCATGGTTAGCTTGGTGACTTATGCAAAGCAGAGTACAGTCAAATGCTGTAGAATGAAAATTGGTTAAGATACTAACATTACTTACCCAAAGCACCTGCTCCAAAATATATTTTTGGATTAAATGGACTTGAGTACTTTTTTAGACTTGAGTCTCTTGTTATTTTTGTTTTGTTTTGCATTGTGTTCTTATCTGGGAGAGGAATGAAATTTTATATATGAAAGCACACAGAGTTTTCATTAAGATATTACTGATTTTATTTTTCTAGCTTAAAGCAATAAATGTAGATCTTCAAAATGACGCTGCTCTGCAGGTGGACATATCTGATGCTCTTAGTGAGAGGGATAAAGTAAAATTCACTGTACACACAAAGGTAACTGTGATTTTTGTACTTTAGCTATTTATTGTGCTGATGTTACATATATAATAATATATTGACTGGACTTGAATTTTGAATGTATTTAGAAAGAAACTCTTAACAAAAAAGTTTCAGGGAAATGTACTTCTTAAATATTAACATTTTGATATATAGAACCTAGATATAGTGCAAATTTAATTTTCTCTAAATTTCTTTTACCATTCTTGCTATTTTCAATTTTGCTGTGCTCCTTTTATTAGTTAAATTACTCATGCAAATTATTATTATTTTATGTTTTTTTGTGTGTGGTTTTTTTTTGAGTTGGAGTCTCTCACTCAGTTGCCCAGGCTGGAGTGCAGTAGCATACTCACGGCCACCTCAGCGTCAACCTGCTGGGCTCCTGTGATCCTTCTGCCTCAGCCTTCCGAGTAGCCAGAACTACAAGCACTCTACCATGGCTGGCTAATTTTTAAAAAATTTATTATAGAGATAAGGCCTCGCCAAGTTGCCTGGGTTGGTCTTGAACCCGTAGGCTCAGGCAATCCACTCGCATCGGCCTCCCAAAGTGCTGGGATTACAGGCTGAGCCACTCATCCCAGCCCATAGAAATTTTTATTCTTTTTTTGTTTGTTTGTTTTGTTTTTTGAGTTGGAGTCTTACTCTGTCACCTAGGCTGAAGGGCAGTGGCACGCTCCCGGCCACCGCAGCCTCGACCTGCTGGGCTCCGGCGATCCTTCTGCCTCAGCCTTCCGAGTAGCTGGAACTACAGGCTCGTACTACCATGCCTGGTTAATTTTTTTTTTTGATTTATTGTAGAGATGAGGTCTTGCCAAGTTGCCCAGGCGGATCTCGAACCTGCGGGCTCAGGCAGTCCACTCACCTTGGCCTCCCAAAGCGCTGGGATTACAGGCTGAGCCACCGAGCCCAGCAAATTATTATTTTTAATAGATTTCAGTCTTGGACACATTTTCGAATTGCAGATATATTTCCTTTGTTTGAATAGTTAAGTTTGATATGTATTAATAAGACAATTTTAAAGTAATGGTAGCAGTGCAATATAAAAAGTGTCAATTTCCCAAACATATAAGGATAATTGTGTCTGAATATTTAGGGTGTTTTTTTTTTTTTTTTTTG